AGTGGAAGCAGTAAGCAATACATAATCAACGATTGCCAAATTGCAAAGCACAATTACTTGTCAAACTTAGTACTTAAACCAAAAAAAATTGTTAATCCTATACCTTTAAACGAGCAATTACTGTATATATATATATATATATATATATATATATATATATATATATATATATATATATATATATATATATAACAACATGTCCCAAAATTCAACGATAAGCCAACACCGAAACACGAAAAGCTTAAAAATTAGGAGGCTTATATTAGATCATTTGTTTTTATATAAAATTATAAGAGGTGGTCCGGATTGCCCCGGACTCACTACCAGTATACTAGGCGACCTAAGTCAGGTGCCAGGATAAAAAAGGACAGAGAAGTGATTCGAATATAATAGCAATGATTGGTAGAAGTGAAATTGGTCTGTAGTTTTTTTTTTTTTGGTATTACCAGACTTAAATACAGGCACAATAAGGGCTCTCCAAATGTAGGAAATACCCCCGACGCAGTGATTCATTAAAGATCCATGAAAGCGGATATGACAAACACTCTGAACAACGAATCAGAAACACCGGAGGTATCCCATCAGAACCAGCACCCTTTGCGGGATCAAGTTTCTTTAGGGCACGTTCAATTTGTCGCGGTGAATATAGAATTTCCCCAACACTGTAAGTACTAGTCACCACTGGTGGGAAAACCACTTGTCTTGTAGCAGTTGAGGGCACACTATAAGCTAACATGAAGCAAGTGACAAACAGATTAGCTATATCCCTTCCAGAATCGTCTTACCATCAAAATGCATTATAGAGGGGAAATTACTACTATTAGATTTTTTATATTCATGAACGACCAGAACAGTTTAGGATTCTTAGAAAGTGAGTTTTCTATGTCAGATAAATATTTTTTATATGACAATGTGATTAAAGAGCCACACCTCTTCTTCAAGGATTGCAAGTACAACAGGTCGAGAGGGTTATTGTATTTTTTAAATCTCATTCGGTATTTTTGTTTCTTCAAACTTTTCAGATTCCAAATAGGATATTTCGTGTTTTTCGGTTTGCGTAATGGAACATGACTAGCTATAACCTCTCTCAGTATGTCATAGACCAAGTTGCTGAACGACCTTAATCACATTTTCGTTTTTATGTTCTGGGACACATTGCAATTCCAGATTAGCCGAGCGGGAGATCTGGTCAATTAGGTTGACACGGGAAGTAAGACTATTGACCTCTGCACGGAGTTTTGTGTTTTCTTCCTTCAACTGTCGAACTTCGGACTTTTAAGTGTTTATGTCGGCTTTCATTTTCTCGAAATGCTCATTGAAAAACGTTAAAAGACTCCTTGAAGCTGTTAATGTCCGCGTGAATTAAGTTCAACTATCGGGTTATATTGCTTGTGGATTCCTTTACTATTTCATTTATTATGATACGTATTTCGGAGCGAGAAACGCAGTCAATGTGCTCACCCACCTGCGGACGTTCTGCCGACCTTCGCCTCATAGTCACATTAATAGGATCTGACGGCGTCCAAGGCGATCCCCGGATCGGCGTGTTGGAGTTATCACCTCGAGGCTGTCTACAGACGCAATCTGGACACAGCCAATCCATTTTTCACTGTGAAGTCATCCCATTCAGTTCAATATCAGATATATTAACGTATAAGCTGTGGTAAGATTGTTTACACATTGCGCAAACAATGTGTCCATCGCCGCTTCTAACTGCGTCTCGGCATCCCACACATGTGCGCATCATGTAGGTAAGTAAATATAGTTTGCTTGCTATTAAGTGCGCCCGCGCTGCGTTACATATGACGAATAGCACATGATAGACAAAACCAAAAAATGCAACTCACTCATACCGCACCGGTGGTAAGTTAGTGGCCCCCCTCTGCGACGACTCCGAGATGCGGTGCGAGGCAAGGGCAGCAATTATTCCAGGTAATGTCTTGCTCTTCTTACAGTTTGACTAATTTTGTAGGAATTTAAACTCACTATGTAAGTGCACAGCGGATTAGATGGTAATTGCACTAACGTAAGGAGTGCAACTGCGTGCGGTCAGTTACAATTTCAGTGTTCGAACCAATAACACCTCTACCTCACACAACTTGCATACGCAATATCCCCTACATTTTTTTAAATTTATTTAGGACAACCAACAAGACGTACACGAACACAATGTAAATACTACAAATTACAGGAAGGTTTATATCTAAGTGTCGTCTTAATTAAAGGTTGCCACGGCATGCAATGTGGACAACGAATATGTTTTTTTAAACTTACAACAATAAGCTTAAAAATAGGTCTAAACGTTAGTTAAAAGTAAAGGACTGCATAATTTTTCGTTTGAATTTTTGAGGCTTAAAAGCAAAAATATCAACGTCACATGTCTTGCAGAGCTGGTTATATTGCCTCTGTAACCTGTTTATTGTGGCGTGGCGACCTAAATTAGTTTTACTGCCTTCAACTGAAAAGGGGACGTATCGGGTGACACGCACTAGCTTAAACGTACCTTGAAATTTATTGCACTTAGTAGATATGGACAGTCTACGGTTCCATTGACGCTTTTGTGTAGCAACATGAAATCCAGCAAAAGCCTCCGCTGTTGCAGGTTACTTAATTTAAAATACTTCAGTCGGTCTTCGTATGAGAGTAGATCTTTTAATTTGTAAGTTTGGTACGAAACATACCACAAAAAACGCTTCTGGATACGCTCTATGCGTTTCACGTAAATGTTATAAAATGGAGACCAGACCTGACTACAGTATTCGAAGCTGGAACGGACTAAAGACTTGACAAGGTTCTTGTAGAGGTCCTCTTAAATTCTTTAGAATTACACAACACGAACCCCAACTTTTGAAGACTCCTTGTAACAATTCCATCAACGTGCTTATGAAGCCGCAATTTTTTGTCCAGAACCACACCCAGATCGAGATGCGAACAGAGTCCACTTCTACCAAGCAGCATACATACACCAGATAGCCTTAAATAAAGAACAAGCTGCCAGTTCTAAGCCTGAATAAAGTATAATGGAGGATCAATTTTATATACAATTATATTACAGTACACAATAAATAACCTACGCACTTATATCATTGAGCATTGTTGCCACATAACATTTCACTGACTCAGTCAGTAATCAACGCCCGCGACGCAACTTAATGTATTAGTAACATTCCGTATTTTACATCTTTTGAGTCGATGATCCAAATGAGCCAAATAAAAGATGTCAGAGTTTCGTAACATTTCAGTGATCGAGATACTAATGTTTCAATCGCAAATATCATACACTTTGTCCATCTCCAGTTGTGCCACCTTTTGATAATAACCTTCCAATAATCGATTATGGGTTCGTTGACATCGATGTGTCGATGTTTGACATGTGGCAACATCGATCTTTTAATTTTTAACATCGATGATCATCGAACACCCCTAGCACAATGCAGCGATTCATTCTTACTTAATTAAAATCGAACCAAATCGCAACATTTTCAAATATTAAGTTTCCAGAATTTGAGATTTTTTCTTAAATTGAACTTTTATAATTACATATACCTTATGTTTTATGTATAATTTCAGGCTGTGGGGCATTCCATCTTAGTTGATAACGTATATGCAGCGATCTTTCTTTGATGTTGTTAAAATAATTCTCATCAGACTAGGCTGTATGGTTTCAAACATTTACCTGCCTTAATTGGCGAATCGTAAAAACTACAACTAGTCAATTTAGTTTAAATCATGAAGGATAGCAAACAGGAGAATGATCGCCGTAGAAAATAGTGTCCCATGGACACCATAAGTGAGGCGCTGCGATCACTAAGTTCTTTTTAATAAGTCATTTTCAGTCTAATTTTCCGATCAGAAGCTAAACCACTTGCACATCCAAGCACAATAAAATATTTCTCCATTTTTTAATGTTTCTTTTTGTCAAAAATTACAAAATTACGGAGCATGAAAATTTTCTCATTAAAAATGAAATGAAAAGTACATTGTTCAACTAACTTCATCTACTTGTACACACCGACGTCAGCGCCGCTATATATTCTACAATTTTCAAGGACAGGTGGGCTATGCTTTAGTACGTAGTGATAGTTCTCCTGTTCTCTACCCTTCATGATTTAAATATAGTTTTAAATTTTGTATGATGTTTTTTTTCCAGATTTTGATAGGACTGAATAAATTAAACGTAGAAAATTATTTTATTACATGTATTACAAATTTAATACGTGATTGGTGCAAGATTCTTTTATACTGTTTAATACTCAGGTTTCTTTTGTGATAGTAAATTTTGCTCTTCAACTCGTTACTTATTGTTAATACTAATATGTGGTATGGTAAATACCTTAGTACATTTGTTGTCTCTGTTGTATGTTAGTGTTGTAATAGAATGTAGTTGTGTTTTTTTTTTTTTTGTTTATCATACCAAAAGCGACATCCAAAGAACATTTGTTTCGGTTCCTTTACATTTTATAATTTCTTTATTGGATAGAGTATAGTATTCTTTACGCCTAAAGTAGTCAGATAGAAAAAAATTGAAGTAACTGCAAATGTCGTTAAAAGTCACCAGAATATTTTTTGTTGCTAAACATTGAATTAAATTCTCAATTTATAGTGTGTATATATATATATATATATATATATATATATATATATATATATAGATATAGCGACCAAATTGCTAAAGTGGCGACACTGATGGGATAGATCGCTATATATCATAGTTATTGAATCAGATGTATCAGTCCGATTCGAGAGGTTTTTTAATCGATTCATTGAATCAATGCGGTGCTCCAAATCGATCTAAAAATCGGTTATTTTGCTCCAGATAGTCGATTTTTCGATAGATCGACATGCCTATTTGAAAAATTCCATCCCATCCATTTTGTTTTTGTGGAAGCGTGTTATGTGTGACCAGTGACCGTGTTTAGTGTATTCTAAATTATTTACACATTGTATGTTATAAAAGATTATTGTTTTATAATACGTGTAAACTATATTTATTTTAAAAAATGCAGACCAGTAGTGGTACTAAAAACCCCCCTTGGGCGCGTCCAAATGTCACTGCTAATATGACCGGCATAAATCCGCAAATAATGGATCCAAATACTATGATGACTCAACAAGGTATGATGCCATTTCAACAGACACAAGCAGTATTTAATCCGAGCATGATGCAGGCACAAAGTGGAATGGCTATGCCGATGGCTGGACAAATGCAAATGAATCAAATGGCTCAAGGTCAGATGTATCCAGGAAATGTTGTAGCGTATCCAACACCACGTGCTTTGAACCCGGGTTTATATCAAAACGCTCAAGCTACCCAAGCTCAGTCGGCAACAGAACAGCGAGTGTTTACAGGCACCGTTACAAAAACTCACAATGACTTTGGTTTTGTGGATCATGACGTTTTTTATCAAACATCAGTTTGTGCTAAAGGCATAATACCTAAAGTCAATGATAGAGTACTTGTGGAAGCAACTTACAATACTAACATGCCATTTAAATGGAATGCAACTCGAGTACAAGTTTTGCCAAAAACTAGCCAAAATCAGAAATCAAACACATCTAAATCAAATTCATACAATGCTGTTCCGCCGCCTTCTTCCAAGAAATCATTGCCATCACGTCGTGATGATCGCTCATCGCGCAGAGATGACAGGGTAAGCACATAATAGGAAACAATTTTCTACATTTCTTGCTGTAGAATAATTTTAGTAGAATGTATAAGAAATATAAGAAAGGGTAAAACGAAGCCAACCACTATGGCAGATATCTGAGAGACAGAAGGAAATTATTGTTTTTAGATAGAAATAAAAACTAAATAAATATTTAAGCCTACAGATTCAACTAATTACATAAAATAATTGTTTCAACACCTCTTGCTTGCAGTTGTGCAGTGTTTATCAGTGTGTAATAGGTTAGATCATTTATGAAAAAACAATTTATGCACAGATTTGAATATGAGTAGTGTTAGAAATATGGTATGGTATGGGTTGGATATAGACATCTGGTAGTTGATTTTAATAATGTTTTTAGTTGAGGTAGACTTGTGGTTTGAAGCTTGAAACTATCACACTGTTTTTAGACATCGAAAATGCATTTTGAATTAATAACAATAAAAATAAATTTCACTGAAAATTGCTTATAATGAAATGCAAATATGTTTATTTGGTCTAGTATTATGAAGTAAACGTCTGGTACTTGATTTTTTAATTTTGTTTTCAGATTAGGTTAAGCTTGAACCTTTTACACAGTTTTTGAGTATCGGATATGCCTTTTTAATTATTTACAATAAAAATTAATTTCTTATTCAAATTTTTTTAATTTAAAATTTAAAAATTAAATTCTAATGTCATTAGGTCATTAGTGACAATATATTTTAATTTTATCTAACACTATTGTGAAAAGTCAGAATGTGTCAAAAAAGGCACATATGGCAATTCACAATGCTGTATTAGTCCCTACTTTAACATATGGTAGTGAAATTTGGGTGTGGCAGAAGAAGCATGAGAGTAGAATAAATGCAGTAGAAATGCGGTCGCTAAGGAGTATGTAAGGGATGAATCTGAGTGACAGGGTGAGAAACTGTGTGATAAAAGAAGAGTGTGGTTTGCAAGATGGATGCGGTGACCAGGATTAAGAAAGGAATGCTTCGGTGGTTTGGTCATGTAGAAAGAATGAATGAAGAAAGACTGACAAAGCAAATACATGTTGCAGAATTGAATTGAAGAGTCGGAAAAGGTCATTCTAGGCGAATGTTTGTTGACCAAATTGGCGATATATTAAAAATGGGCCAAATTCGGAGTACCCTTAACCAACAAGCATTTATGTGTAGGTATATGGATGTGGAAGAGGCGAGAGAGGTATGCCAGGATCGTGCTAAATGGAAGTCTGTAGTCTCTGTCTAACCCTCTGGGTGACAGGCGTGAGTGTTTATGTATGTATACTCTAACAAAAAACAAATAATTCATCATTGTGACTTAGTGATTTTGCTTACACTTGTGAGCTTTATATTGGCCTCCATAAACACTTCATATTGTACTTCTCTAAGATATGTAAAATGGAACAAATAAGTTATCACTTGCTCTTTTATGTGGGAATAAGTGAACGGACACCAAGCCCATCATTTATAAAACTAAATGTATCATAGTAGATGAAAAGTGTAATGGGTTATGTAATATGGTGGCACAGCAAACTCATGGGACCAAATGTAAACATTTGTTTTGTTTGTTTTAATTTAGAAAGTGCATTAATGAATTTATGAGAATTTTATTAATTTAAAATGTTTTTATTAAACGCAACAAATAGTATATTTAGCCAAAAGCTGAATACTGAATATTCAGCAGACTTTCTGGCTGAATAGCCGAATATTAGGGAATGGTGTTCAGCCGGGAAGGAAGTAGTGTTTATTCTTCAAAGTATCTATTCTCTGAAGCTGGGATTGTTTACAAGAAGAATAGGAGTAAACTAGGAGTTGCCTGAAAATAAAGAAAAATTAGTCTTTCTGCACATCTTCCATTTTAATTGTTATAATTCAAGTGCATAGATAATTATCTAATAGTTTTTTTTGTATAATATGAAATTTGATTATGAACCTATGACTACTTTAATGATTACAAGAAAAAAAATATTTAAAAAATAAAAGCTTTAAAGTTATTTAGCTTTTATTCATCACACAAATGAAGACAAGTTAATCAATCAACCGATATTACTTATTGTACACAAATACACATTTAAACAAAAATGAAATGAATTATATAAAGAAGTTATGCCTTCTTAATATATTTAGTCTTATTGCTCTGGAAGTGAATTCTTGAAAACAACCTTCCTCTTCTAATTTTAAAAGAAAAATAGTTCCATCGTTTAACCAATGATTCTCTGCCAATGTCAAGGTTGAGAAATACAAGAGGATATTACACAAATAAAAAGGATAACTGTTAAAGTATATTTTGACTGCTAGTTTTTGAGGTGATTTTGTGCATAACCCAAGAAGTAGTAGATACCTAAAAAGTAAATAAACACCACAAGATTAGTTATCAATTATATTGAGATTATACTATATATTTACATATAATACAGGAATTAAAATAGATTTAAATATGATACCGGGATTGAACTTAACAAACCTATGTTGTGCATAATATTAGTTACATTTTATGTTATTAGTATACATAATTTTATACTATTAATTCTTAGAAACTTTGCAAGTATATTAGCAAAAGGAGTAGGTTATTAAGGTTAGTAAAAAAGGAACATTTACTGGGCGTTGAATATTAAAAGGTATTATATCATATAAAGGGGCTATGAAACAACTGCATTCAAAGAATATGTTCTACAGAGTACTCTCATCAAGACCACACTCACACAAAGAACTTTTACACAAACTTTTGCTAAGATAGAGCAAGCGTGACCAAGGTGTAGTCTTACTATATTATACATTATGAGTTTACTGAAGTTTCTAAGTCTAGAATACCATGTCTTGACAGGTAGACTAGGCTGAATAGAACCAAAGAATTTTCCCTTCAACAGTCTGAAAGATTAACATCTATTATTCCATTTATCCATCATATTTAGTTAGAATATAGTTAAGCTGCAAAACACAAGTCCCGAGCAAAATTGATTTTTTATGTATAGCAGCCATATAATATAGCTTCCCTAGCAAGTCCATTTGCAGTCTTGTTGCCTTTAATACCATAGTGGCCAGGAATAACCTCATTACCAAAACAATAATGCTTATAGAACCTCATTATGCAAAAAAAAAAAGTTAAAGAGATTAAAACAAAAGATGATGTCTGTTGAGGATAAATAGGATAGATACAAGAAAGGACAAGTATGATGGGAAATATTAAAGTTCCAAATAATCTTTCAGTGGTTTTTCCAGGAAAAAGGGAAGTAACTATTGTAATAAAATTCAAAATGACATTTAATCATTGTTGGTGTACTTAATTAAATCTTGCTTTGTGTCTGAGATCAAGATAAAAATTTATTACCATTATTCTTGATAGCAATTCGCCATTTTCAATTTCCCTGCATTCACTAATGCATTATTTAAATAATTTTATGTAGAGACCATGTCTAGAAGTAGGTTGTCAAGAACTGTTAAAGGAGAAGTCATAAAATGGTAAAATATGTTTTTCTAAGTATGTTGTGAACGGGCGAGTCTTTCAAAACTGCAAGTAAGCTGACAGCATCAAATGTTATAACAACTCATCATAAAGGTTTTGACTCAGTGTAATTCTTTAAATAACTAATAAAATAATTTTAAATTCAAGTTCATTTATTTATTTGTAAATACAGTGAGTTGTTAGTAAAATTTATAGTATGTATTATCATGTATTCTATCACAGTATGGTATATTTACACAATACAAACAAATATATTTCTTATCAATCAAACCTATAAAAGTAGATTATGTAAGTTAAACATATAAAAGTAAAATAATCCTCAGTGCCAGTTGTACACAAAGATTTAAATAGTTGCGTCTTCACCTTGAAAAACTGTTGTATTATTTTTGAATGTGTGCGTTTGCAAGACCCTGACGCACGCATACACTAAATTGGTTATTAATAGAGTACTAAAGACAATAGTGTCTTACGGAAATTGTGTATACTACTTTCTCTATCTACCACAACATTTCCCTCAGTTTTTGTCTATTTATAGATGATCCCTTTGTAAACCGCTTCCTTGGTACATCTGAGTATCTAAATCAATTGGGTATTAGAAGAGTACTGAGACAATAGTGTCATCTCTTATTATCTTACGGCAACTGTATATACTACTTTCTCTGTCGCACAGTTTCTGTTTGCCTGTAATTATTTCGTGGTATATTCTGACATCGGAATAAAATAATTTAAATATTTAATAAAATATAGATACTTACGAGTGAAATGTTACACCTTGGGCTTTATTTATGTTTCTAGAATTATTATTGCACATTCGAAAGGCACACAATGGCATTCTGAGAGTTTTTTTTTTTTGTGAATTCAACGCGTTAGTTCCAATGTGCAACATCCCTCGCACAAATGAGCACTGATTGTGAACGAGTGAGCTCACTCATTTGAGAATAAACACATTTTGGAGTGGTCATGCCATGGTAAGGGCACATCTTACTATTTAAATCTTTGATTGTACATTATAAAACACTAATGCATGTGAACGCAGTGTGTCATCTCCCATACAGGTTCATATATTACCAATGGTTTCTCAAAGCATGCATAGTCTGTGGACGGATTAACAAAAATAATTTATATAATATATAAAACCCGGACACATTTATACTACTACTTAACAGCTGAAATAAGTGAAAAGGTGAATCTTTTTAATTGATAAAATGAAGCCCTTTCACCCAAATGAGTAAATATTTTACATAAACTTGTTTTTATAAAGATTTTTAGACAAAGGAAGATTTTAGAAGTTTTGAAGAGTATTTGTTTTTCCAGAAACGGTCTCGAACTAGAAGCCGTTCACGCTCTCGGGATCGTCGTGATAGCCGGAATCGTAGAGATTCTCCACCACGCAAGAGGCCTGTAATACATCAACCCTCACCTATCAAATATGTGGTGCGAGTGCCTCGTATGCCGCTTGATATGTAAGTTGATCTAGTTAAATAAGGAAATAAAATGTAATTTTAAAATTCAAGCATATTTTTAAGTTTAATTGATCTATTGAAGAATTCTTTCCTATATTACAGACAAAAAATTGATGTTCCTGGACTATCGCAGCGATACACAAACCTGTATATACCATCAGATTTTTTCAATGCCCATGTCAAATGGGGGGAGACATTCCCACCTCAAGCACCTTTTTCCCTAAATAACCCATGTTCATACCATATCATGAATAAAGAAATAGAAAATCCTAACCCAAACAATGCTGTGTTAGAACCACCTGATGTAGATTACAGATTTTCTGCTAAGGTAAGTGTAATATGCTCTGATTAAGTTATATAAACATAAAAATTTGGTCTTAGTAAAAAAACTCGTTTTAGGTTATGTTGATCAGTATGCCGACATTGGAATCTCTATATCAGAAGTGTGGTTTGACAAAAGTAGATGAGAAAGATAAACGGTCCAGCAAAACACCATTACACCCCACAAGATTAATCAAGTTCCTTGTTGGACAGAAAGGGAAAGGAGGTGAAAATTTTGCTATAGGTGGACCTTGGAGCCCCTCATTAGATGGTGAAAACCCTCAATCAGATCCTGGAGTATTGGTGAAAACTGCTATACGAACATGCAAGGCTCTTACGGGTATTGACTTATCCACTTGTACGCAATGGTGAGTTTCACTTTATATAATAAGTAGAGTTCAGCCCTGAATCCTGATTTCCAGATCATTTTAAACATTCCTAACTATGGTTAAAAGCTTCCAGTCCTATCATATTAATTGGTTTATATGTATATGCACAAAAAGATAAAATTCATTTAATGATACATTATAACAAATATAACAGGAATCTTTTAGCCACAGTTGTTCCTTAAATTAATCATGGTACAGCACACATTCATTATGTGAAAGTACGGAGTTCGTACATCGTGAAAGGCGCAACTGATTGGATGCAGACCGATGTACCTAACAAAACAGCAGTTTGTTGACTCTCGTACAGGATGTGTCGTGTCCATGTCAGGAGTCGGGCACGTTCGTATTTGTGAGTATATATTATTACAACTGAATTACCCGCGCAGGTACCGAATGGTGGAGTTTTACTACTGGCGAGAGGGCAGCGGCGGGAAATCGCGGCTCGAGTGTGTGGTGTTGTTCCTGCCTGACGTGTGGTCGGCGCAACCTTCGCGTATCGAGTGGACAACAGTTCAGGAGCGATATAAAGCGGCGTGTGAAGCCACCTTAAGGAGACTCGACGGCGTCGAGCCAGAGCCGGACGTCAACAGCGACCCATCGAAGCCTGCCGTCGAGAGCGACTCATTGAAGCCTGCTGACAGCGATCCAGCGGAAAACTCCCAAATTGTTTGTTCCCAGTTTTGTTTCGTTTTGTTTCCGGCTGCGTGCAACTTAATGGATGGAGACTGAAGCCGCGCCTGTGTTGCCGACACAGTCCCATCCTGGCGTCGGGCGGAAATCGCTTTGTGGATAATAAAATTTTACATTATTCCCATATTATAGATTCAAAATTTAAAGTAATTTTTGAGGCAATAGATTTTTTTATTAAATTTTATTAATAATCAAAGCTGCTCCCATTCATTGCCTTAAAACGCCTGCTCAACTATTTAGATACTAACAATGATATCGTTTTCAGGAAGAGACAAATGCTGACGATAGTACAATAACAATAGATGAAAATGAAGATGAAGAAGAGGTTAAACCAGAGCCTACACATCACTCGAAAATTGAGTTGAGAACAATTAAAGTTGACCAATTGAGACAAGAATTACGTGCTAGAAATGTTAGTTCCAAAGGTAATTTATTCTCTTGAGTATTTAGCTTAGTTTTTTTCTTTATTTTATAAAAATACTATTTATTTTAATAAATTGTAATATTTATATAAAACCTTACCAATCAATATTATAATTGTGCAAGTCCCTTGAATCACGCTTACATGGCTGGATGGATTCTAACTATAGCATAAAAGTGAACACTTTACGTTCACTAGGCAAGCTGGTAATAACTAATATTTAAATAAAAAGATATAATATAATACATATTTAATTTTCTGAAGCACTACTTGCAATACCAATGCTGCCTGGAATCTTAGTGCAGTATAGCAAATTGGATAATATAATATAACTAATTCCTTCTAAATCCTTTTACTCACAAACATTGCCTCTAAATCTCTTTAATTAAATTAAGAAAAATATTCTTGTCAGGTCTTCGCGCACAATTAGTATCACGTTTATCAAAACTTCTTAAATCTGAAGAAGAAAAAGAAGGAAAGGAGGAAGACGTAATGGAATTGGAGGATGATGAAACAGAACAAAATGCAGAAAATAAGAATGTTGAAGAACCTGAGAAAAAAGAGCAAGAAGAACAAAATGAAAGTGACAAAAAAGATGACAATGTTGCTGAGAAAGAGACCAAAGAAAAGGAAGAGGAGAAAATCAAGAGTGAAGATAAAAAAGATATATCTGAAGAAAATGATAAGACAGAAGCTAAGGACAAAGAAACCAAAAGCGAAAAACAGTTAGAAGAAGAAAAGAAAAAGGTATTTTATCTTTATTTTCGGGCTCCAATAAAACACTAGAGGTCCAATGTAACAACGCATCTGCATTTTGATTCGTAATCGAGGGTAGATGTAGATATAGATCCGGTGGAATATGCTTGTTTGTCAACCTTATCATATAAAAAAATATTGTAGGTCTAAATAATAGATATGACAACACATCCAGATCTGAAAATTAACATTTACTTGATGCAGATATTAGCTTCAGGTTGTAACAGATCTGCAACCATGAAGTTACATGTCTTTTACAATGACCACGAAGCTGTTATTCAGTCATACATAAACTGGATATTGGGAAATTTTTTGACTTTATATTATTTTGGATTAGTGTTATTTAAAATAATTATAAGGTTTTGTACATAATGATTTCTTATATTTACGCGAACGCTACACATTGAAATAATACTAGTTTTTACGGAATTTATCGCGTATATTTAACTTTTTAAATACCCGACGTTTCGAGAGCTGTACAGCACCCATGGTCACGGGAAGGACTGAGATGTTCAACGTCCAGATGTCATAGTTAACCGCGGTTACCATAGATTAAAATTTAACTTTTGTTCCGATCTACACAGTACGAACTTATGGTATCATGAAGTCTTGCAGTTGTATGCTTGGGTTGGGATTTAATTTTATTTATTATAGGATCCCAAGCAGATGGTAGCACCCAGCCATCTTCTCTATTGAAATTAGGTGTTTTTTGATTTCAAGCCTCGCGAATCATCCTTGGAAGGAATCGGTGTTCTTTAGTGAGGATTTGTGGTCTATCAAATCTGATGTAGTGACGACACTAGCTAGAATGAAGCTCTCGTAACGTCGGGTATTTAAAAAGTTAAATATACGCGATAAATTCCGTAAAAACTAGTATTATTTCAAGGTTTTGTACACTTTCGGCTTTCAAATATGCACTACAACCAATTTGCATGTATTGAACATGTACTAGATTATCTTTTTATATAAATACAAACAATTATCTGCATTTGGACTCATTTTGTGACTATTACTAAAAAAAGATATTGTAATTATTTTTGGCATTGTAGTTGGAAAAAGAGAAGCAAACAATGAAATCTCGATATGAGCTGCCATCTCAACCTCACATAATTGTACATCCATGTGCTACAGCCAAGAATGGTAAATTCAACTGCAATGTTGCGACTCTTTCACTTTTACTGGATTATCGAATTACAGACAATAAGGAACACAGTTTTGAGGTATGGCTGAGATTGTTAGTGAAATTTAAATTGTATATATTGCTAAAAGTTATTTAAGATTGCATAATAATAGAATTAAATTTTTTATAGTTGTTTGTATTTGCGGAACTTTTCAATGAAATGTTAATGCGAGATTTTGGCTTCTACATTTACAAAACTCTCTACACCTTGCCTGAAAAAACTGAAGAGATTAAAGAAAAAGATAAGAGTGTAGAAAACAGTGATAAAAAGGATGATAAAAAAGGTGAAAGTGAAAGAAAGGATGATAAGGATAGAAAGGATGACAAGGATAGAAAAGATGACAAGCGAGACGACCGACGTGACTCACGCCGTCGTGAACGAAAAGTGAGTTTATTTTATATCAATTAATTAAAAAGATAAGGGAGAATATATCAATATCATCATATATAATAAGCGACAGTAGCCTAATGGCAAGGGCGCGGACCGCGAACTCAAAAAGGTCGTGGGTTCGAATCCGCCATTCGACTACTGGCGTGAACCACTCGTAACACAAGCAATTTAAGCTTACCATGAGTGGTTAAGGGTAATGTTATTAATGTTTATAGCATTGATAATATTCTTTAAAAAACTGTTTTCTCCAAATACTAGCTTTACCTGCGTGCAATGATGGACGATACTAGCACGCTTGTGACCGAATGATTTAAAAAAAAAAAGCCATGAGCGCTAATTTTACAAACTAGTTGTGAACAACATCAATATCAGCTCTGCACTCAACAACCCGCTGGCTTAGTATTTTCATTATGGACACCTCTTCCAAGAAATGCTTACTGGCTAGCAAATTACTATCTTGATAAGGTCAATATATGGTCAGGGTAGTGCATAAAAGCTGCTCTTGTATTTAAAAAAATATGATGATACACATGCACATAAAAAAATGCTAGGTATTTACTTAACATATAAACTCTTGATGGATAAAAGGCTTCGGACCATGATTTGTTGTAGCATTCCATGGGAGAGGCCTAAGATCAGCAAGGGACTTGTGAAGGGCTTTAATGATGATGATGATGATAAATGCTTGTAATATTACGTTGTATCAAAGTTAATTGTTATGACCTAAAAAGTTATTTAGGGAGAGCTCGTGCCAACCCTATTTTTGCAACACCTCTTGTCATGTGCATAACTTAGTATGTTTTTGTGTATTTAAATTATTGGTTTTTTTAGTTGTTATCAGTAAGGCGCTTTTGCCCATCTCATGATTTTTTCCCTCTGTCGCCTCTTACGACACCCACGTGACGATGTGTGGATATTCTTACTTAGCCACTACATGTTAATACCCACATTTTAGCACAAAATACAACATCGGTCAAATTCACTGCTGACATGAACTCACTCAAAACATGATCTCCCTGTAGTTCATACCAAAACACTAATTTGACTCATAAAAACCTAAAATATTTATCATTTTTAATTATTCTTCTATAATTTGTCCTCACCTATCTTTTAAATGCGCTTTCACATTTCCATTTATATAAGTATATGTGTTTTAACTCAATTTTTAGGATTCCCACAGTGACGACGAAAGAAGTAGTTCTCCTAAGCGTAAGGGCCGTGGTGTAGATTTACCACCAGATCCATACTTGCTGTTATCTCTTGTGTACTTTGACACATCTCGTTGTGGCAACATCACAAAGAAGGACCTTCAAAATCTTTTCATGAGTCTTGGTTTGCAACTATCTCGTTCGCAAATACGTGCGATACTTGAGAAAGTGTGTATCAAGGACACATTTAGCTATAAGTAAGTAAAGAAATGCTGTTTTCGTATCATTAAATGTAAATTACAATTTTAGTTTTTTGTTTAACTTTGTAGCCTAACCAAGCATGCATTAAGGTAAACTAACGCCTCATATAAACTTATAAAGAAGACACAGATCTCAACATCAGTAGACTGTTTGTTTACTGGCTGAAGGGGATGAGACATATGAGGCTAACACTAAAATGTGATAATTAACCATTAATTATTAAGATAATGGCCCTTTTTATTTTGATCATGTCACATCTTCTTTAAACAAATATATAACTTGGAAATAATTTACACAGGACACTCGTCCAAGCTATAAAAGACCTTGCTTCGGGTGCATCGGAGGCTATGCAAGACCTGCCTCTGGACTCAACAGCTGTCACATGTGAAGTTCCACCACATGTAAGTAATATTAGGTCTTTAACTATGAAATTATTGCCTTGACTGAAATTTCTTTTATACCTATGTCTGTAATGAAACATGATTGTCAAAGAAGGGGACGTTTCATACATTATTCGGTCCAGATGTTAACAAGATGAAATTAAGACCATTCGAAAGCTAACTCATAAACAATTCATAGCTGAAAATCTGGTAAGGTTTGTCAATCTAACCTACACTGTAACAGTCAATTTTTACTATAGTAACATTACATTTGTAAATTCGCATATCTGCTATAAATGTATTACAGTTAAAACAATAGCCCATTATGTCAATACCTAATCTGGATCAGGCCTACCCCGCCCACTTTGGGCTTCCTCCTACTTTTTATATTCCGTGTCATAACCAATTCATTCATATGAATCCAAGATTTTATAATTTCAGCTATCTAGTGTCTACTTTACGTACCACCTTGAGAGTCAATCAATTTTTGTTTGATAAAATGTCTTTACTTATAGAATGAAGTACATGGCGATATTTCAAAGCAATTTTACTCAAAGAATATATTCTTTTGATTTATTACTCTAAAATTTAATCTAGATAAGGATCCTAACATTTATTTGCCATAAAATTAAACTTTTATCTTATTAGTCCAAGAGGAATCGGCGCATTTGTACCGAAAACTATTTAACCTAAATTTTTTTATGCGATTCTCTCAAATTGTCCTACTGATTAGATAAATGCGTTTTGCTATGGGGTAACTCGGTGCCATATTGTTTAATCAATTGCAGGAAATTGTTATTTTCAAACAGGAATTTTTTTTTATATTATTTGATGAAATACAAATAAAAATGTTACTATGACTTTTTACGATAAAGTTAATATTTTCGAAGTTATGAATTTTTAATGATTAGAAAAATCTCAAATCCGGATACTTTTGACCCGTTAAAAATGAATAAAATATATTTTTTTTTTATTTTGTTTAGACAATAGTTAATAATATCCTTAGGCCAGAATAAGAAAAACACATTTTTATACCTGTTTTTTGTTATTTATTACTTGCGCTCACTTAAATTTATTTGGTAGGGGGAAAAGGGGGGTATGTAGATGGTTTTCGAAGTATCTGGGGGGGGGGGGCCAAAAAAAGGGCGCACGGAGGGGGGGGGGGGGTGGGTGGAAGGGGGACCGGAAAAAAGAGAAAATTTCGAACGTGGGTTTTTGGGGGGTTGGGTAGTATCGCTGTCTCTAACTCATGCGCTGTCGACCTCTCCGCGTCCGGAATCATTATTCATTAATCTTAAAAACTACATATTAACTTTAAATATTTTAAAGAAAGCTATGTTATAATCAAATAACCTACAATTTGCGTTTTATAAATTTTCCCTTAAATATTAACGTTTGATGCCGAACATGTGCTTGAAATTAATTTTCTATCGCTTTAAGCTACTTTTATTGTTATTATTAGAACCTAAAATGCCTATATTGCGTTGAACAACTTTTATAAATTTTAGGTAAATATTTATAAAAAAACGAATTGTGCTATATTAAAAGCATATATAAGCAAGTATTCTTATTGACCAATGTAAATGTTTGTGCATGTAATATGTTTATATCAATAAAGATTATTATTATTATTATATTTTTAACAAAGTGCAATAATTAACTGCTGTGCAGTGAGTAGCAAGTCAACTCATTGCCCATTTCTACAAACTAGAAAACAACAAATTGCAAACCCACACCACCAAGTAATATTACATAACATACATCCATAAATTTTTAAATAGCCTCCCTCTTCTTCTCCTGTAAATGTACACTGCTAGACATGTGATTCCATTGGGAAAAAGGATTATCTTAATTGCGACACTTGGCAAGAGTATTGATAATCGCACTACTAGACTTTTTTTATAAAATAAGTGTGACAAGCAAGCACACAGTCCACTTACACTTTATGGTTAGTGAATGCTGTATTTACACGCTCAGCTTTGAAAAAATTTTGTAGACTGTAGACAAGCTAGGGAGGGCCCTGCCTGAAATAGTCATCTAATCAAGGTCTTAATGAGACTAAACAAGCCACAGATCAGGATAGTAACAGGTGCTATCACAGGATAATGGCTCTTTTAAACAACATTTGTTTACCATAGGTGTTACTGATAGCCCCCTGTGCAGAGCATGCATGGCAGAGGAAAAAACGGCGGCTCACGTGTTCCTGACATGTCCAGAAGTCGCTTCATACAGGGCTAAACATCTCGGTACGCTGGGATCGCTCCCCGAAGTTGCTTGCAACATCAGAGGACTGTTGAACTTCTTCGGGGAGATATCATAGCTCGAATAATCACATTATACCTGCCCACACGCAAAATACGCGCTTAGGCGTGGAGTTGCGGAAAACAGCCCGTCGTAAACTATACTAAACTAATGAAATGAATGCTGTGGCTCATAAACATCTACATTTAAGAATCAGAATGCAGGTGCGTTTTGACCTCTGAGGAATGAGTTGGAATACCTTGTTTCCAGTAAAAAGGGTCTCCAGTTCTCTACATTCACCATACGAAACAGCAGTGTGAGAGGCGTGGTCCCACACCGGTTGAGCCGACCCATTCACGTCACGCACTTTTTACGTTCTACCCATCACCGGTCTATGAATACCAGCTTAAAATAACTTACTATTGTATTCATGGGCTTTTAATGTAATTAATAACAAAATATTAACTTTGTTTAGATTGCTGAATTAGAAGCTACCATTGCAGCGGGTAATAGAGAACTGCTTCCTTTGTTTGGTAAAGCAGTTGATGAAGAAGGAAAAGAAAAATCTGATACCACTGATGTCAGTACGACAGGTAATTGTTTTAAAAAAATCCTACAAATATCCCTTTTTATACAATAAAATGGCAGGTAAAGAGGGCTCCTTTCTTATAGCCAACCAGGATTGTATCTACTGCCGTAGTTACACATGTAAAGTGGCTACTAGGCATTTGCAACTCACTAATCAAAGGTTTTCTATGACTGATCCGTTATTATCTGTGAGAATTACGACGCAGACCTTATTATGTAATTATATATATACAATTTATATATTATTATGGGCTCTCCATACTCCTCAAAGTAAAACAACAGTGAGTACCGGCGTACTTGTATGTACTCATCGTAAATGTTATATAGTATAGATTGGCGATGGAGTGATTAAGGGCGAGATCAAAATCAAAATACACCAGTGTGCGTGTAATGTGCACGTGTGGGTGACAAATAGTGCTGCACCATGCATTGCCTGCCTCAACTCCAATTATCGATACCAATTGCAGTATATTCGTGTCTTCTGATTTGACGCAGATGATGTAAGTGAATATTTTTACCAAACTATGACGAAGCAAATTAAAGAAGCAGAGAAAAGGATGTTTACAATTTTATAAGGCAATGTATGTATGCATGTTCATCTGTTCCCTCAAATCTAAACTACTCATCATATATTGATACATTAGATATCTTTAAGAGTGTTCTGCCTTTTCGCGGATCTTGAACTGCATGAAGTCTCATAAAAACAAATTTTTTTTTTATAAAACTGAAGTATCCAACGATCTCACAGTCCACCTGACGATGGTAAGTTGCCACTGCAGTCCACGGAAACTTGCAGCTAACTTCAAACTAAGAAGGTCGTTGTCATCTCTACGGACTGAGATGGAACTCCGTAAAGTCTGTATCTATACTGGTACTAGGTACTAGGTAGAGCCGTGGTAGCTCAGATGGTTAACACTCACTGTAAATATAACAGAACGCGAGTATAGTACGCGTCACGTAAAAAGAACGCTGGCGGTCAAGCTGCGCATAGGCGATTTATCGGTCTACTTGGTGGTATGAGGTAGGGCGCGGGGCGGGTGAGCCACGCGCCGCATGTTTACCGATGCGCTATTGGTTCATCAGTTGAGCTTTGCTTCCCGCGTTACGTTCCTTTTAAAAATACCATAACGCACAAAAGTTTTAAATTACGAAATGGTTTTACATAGAGAAGTGAGAAAAATGATTTATGACGTATACTGTTTTATGAAGAGGGAAGCTGATAATAATGTAGTTAATAATTTAAAACAATGTATGAAACGGACCGCAGAGGCAACAAAATGTTCCGAGTCGACAGTGAGACGAATAGTAAAGGGTTCAAAAGATTCGGAATTTCTTACTGTTTTCCGAACTCCCGGCAAATATAAAAGAAAAAAAAACAAAACCAATAACAGACATTGTTGTTATAAAAAGAATGATCCATAATTTTCACGTTACTGAAAAAAGAATTGCCTACCATAGGCAAGTTGCAAAGGAAGTTACAGGATGACATACATTTCCAAGGATCTGCAGCAAGTCTCAGGCGAGTATTGAAAAACTTGGGTTTTAAATGGAAAAAAACGGAAACCAATAGAAAAATCTTAATTGAGCAGTCACAAATTCGATTTCAAAGAATTGAATATCTGAGAAAGATTAAAAAATATAGAGAGGAAGTAAGACCTATCATTTACACTGACGAATCATACGTCGATAGTTCCCATGCGTTTCACCATGCTTGGACAGACGGTTCCACCAAGGGCATTAAAAAACCTGTATCTAAAGGTAGCCGCTTAGTCATAGTGCATGCGGGTGGCGATGCAGGTTTTGTGCCGAATGCTTTACTGACGTTTAAAGCCGGTACAAAAAAGCGGCGACTACCATGACAATATGAATTCTGAAAATTACGAGCGGTGGCTCCGTACTCAACTGATACCAAATTTACCGCCTAATTCAGTCGTGGTAGTCGATAATGCATCGTACCACAATAAACAACTCGATGCTGCACCAACGTCCAATTCAAAGAAAGCAGACATGCAAACCTGGCTTCGTCAAAAAGATATTGAATTTGAAGAGACCATGCTAAAGCCGGAGTTGTACAACTTAATAAAAAAATGCAAAGATAAATTTAAGAAATTTAATATCGATGCTATTTTGAACGAAGCAGGACATTCTGTACTTCGTTTGCCCCCATATCACCCGGACCGGAATCCTGTTGAAATGGCCTGGTCCCAAATAAAAAGTTATGTTGCCTGTAAAAATGTAACTTGGAACCTGACACGTATAACTGAGTTGATTCATGAAAAAGTAAATTTAATGGGAGCAACAGAATGGGGGAAGCTATGCACGAAGGTAAAAGAAATAGAGGCTGATTACTGTAAAAGCGATCATGTGGTGGACATGATTTGTAAGTCTGTTCCGACTAAATGAGGATGGAAGCTCGAGTGACGACAGCGACGACGATGAAATGGCCACTTCTAGCACCAACACCGCGTCCTCATCTGGTTTTCACGTCACGCATGATGACTTAATGGAAGGAGTTTCAACATTACTTTAATTTTATTTCGATTAAACATTCTATAATACATAATTCAAACATGTTTTTAATTCATTTTATTGATATTTTATCTAATATATTTTTCAATGTTATAACTAATAAGAATAACAAATATATAGGTACGAAGCCACGACCCGCGAGCGAAAGCCTAGTTAAAAAATAAATTAATAGGCACATAACTTTCGTGCGAGACTGTACCCATGCGCAAACACACTCCCACCACTTTCTTCCAGCGTTCTTTTTACGTGACGCGTGCTATAACTCGGGTTTGATCCCCGCCGGCACCAATGAAATTGTTAATTGCAATTTTTAAGTGCTGATTTACCACGTGCTCGGCGGTGAAGGAAAACGTCGACACTTCCTTGTCCTAAAACCCTCTCAGAAATGAGGGGAGGCCTGTACCCAGCAGTGGGACATACGTCCCACTGCTGGGTATAGGCTGTAACTTTACTAGGTAAGAGGGTGATACCTGTGAACTACTACCAGGAAATGGGGTCCTTCTACCACTTAGTTCATACATAAACTTCAAAATTGTAAACAGAAATTAACACATTATAAAAGTTTTATGATGTGTTTATAAGTTAAATGTTATTAACTAAAACCCAACTGCGATAGGAAACATGTATTTAAAGTATTACAAGACTACAATGTCAATATTTTACAACTCTTCAAAGAGAACTAATTTGTAGTAAAAATGTTCTGCCCATCCATTTACCATCCGGTGGACTGTGTGCTCGTTTGTCACCCTAATTCTGTTATTTTTTTTTTCATACAGTTAAAATGATATTTAGCAATGAAACCCTAAACATAAAAAATATTTTAGTAACTTGTAGAAGGCTACATCCAAGTCGTACCTGTGCCTGTTAACAATATTACTGTAAGATATTACCGATAATATCAAACTCTAAAAAAAAATGAGGTTAAAATTATCAAAATCTCACCGTATTTGTAATTATTTTAAATTTAATTGCTTTGTATTGAAATAATTATTATAATAAAATATGATAATTTTTCCTATCCATTTAAATACAAATTCTTTGTATCTGCTCGGAGACCACAGCATAAACATTTCAATCGTACTTATGTGTTAAATGTACAATAATGTAATATTTCTTTCTGAGGTGAGTTATATTTAGGTACTACGCACCTAGTCATAATTAATTACGTTTATTAAGCGCACGGATTAGTAAACTGATATGGCAATAGGCCGGCCACATAGCTCGAAGAACCGATAATCGATGGGGAAAAAAGGTTGTCGAGTGGCAGCCTCGTACCGGCAGGTGAAGTGTAGCGCGTCCCCCCATTAGATGGAGTAACAACCTGGTAAGGCATGCAGGAAGTCGATGGATGCAGGTGGCTTAGAACCGTGCTTTGTGGCATTCCTTGGGGGAGGACTATGTTCAACAGTGGACTTGTGAAGGGCGGTAATGATGATGATGATTGATGATGATGCACTAGTTTGTTGCTTTAAAACCTGAAATTTTGCTAATACAAGCGGGATTTGTTTGTTCACGAATGACGCCAGGCCGATACAGGCTGACAGCCTGTACGTGTATGGTCTAGCCTATCTATCTCGTTCTAACATACGCGTACACTATGCTCTTTTCTCTTTTGCATTGCCAGTCTATTCTTACGTCAGTTTATACTAAATTAATGGTACTGATGACGTGTTTTTTATGCGAGCACCCATATTCGACGACCCGGTTAGGTTGCAGATTCGATTTTCTCAAAAAGTATTTATATGGCCTAAAAATAATTGTTCCGTGTCTAAGTTGTGGCATCATCGTAAACTTACTTATAGACATAGTCTTTCCTAGACGCGCCTATTAAAGTGGATACGTCGACCGTCCGCCCATACATTTTTTTAACCAAAATATACACTAAACACAGACACTCTTTCTTTAAAACTAATCATTTTATCACTTGTCTACAATGAAATGTGTACGCGTCTGACCTTTATAGGCAATAACTTACATTATATACTGAGAAAAACAATAGTGAAATCCCGCAAAAATTTGACACTTCTTTAGTAGTGTGTGTGACTTTTGACAAGCAAACGAAAGGCGACGTTTAAACATTGGCACGCTAGATGGCATCCTGATCTTAAATAATTCTGATAAATCAATATCTTAAGTTCAATAATTGGTTAATTATAATTGGTTAATTACCGTTAAAAACGGTTGGAAAGGAAACACAACAGTATAAAATAACATAAAACTAATGACCTTAGACACCTATGTTTTTTTTGTAAACAATTTTATTACTTATTATCGTTGTGTGGCAACATAAATTCCAAAAGTCGTAGGTAAAGCGACGTTGTGACGATAAACTGATAAGAGTACTAACCGTAGTAACCTACAGAGAAGTCTACGGTACTAACGTATTCCTGGCCTTGAATAGACTAAACAAAAGCGTTGCCAAACTTACGTACGTTCACTTGTTTGACTTGTTATAAAATATAATATTCTGATTTCGGTTGTCGCGCGCTATGATTTGCGCGCGGAGTTTCTTGTGTATTATACATATTTTGTATGTATGTTTTCATTGATTCGAATCGCAATATTTCTCTAGTATATATTTGAGACTATATTGTAATTTATCGTAGGTATAGTAATTAATTATTCTAAAAACGCAACTATGTTTTCGGTAGTATTATTAACAGCAGGCTGGCCCGTGATTTTTCTGAAATATCGTCACAATACTGATTACCTTACGTCATACGTGTCAGTGTTTCATATATGAATGTGTTTGAATATGTTTTTGGTCAACAATAAATACAATTATTATAAATCGGTAAATTACCAAAGTAGTCACAAAATTAAAGTTGCAAACATTTGCTAAATATGGTTTTGCCGGGTTATATTAAACACCCTTTACGCATTTTGCAAACAGTTTCAGACACACATTATAGTTTGTTATATTTTGTAGAGCTCAAGTTCACTCGTCACTACGTCATACCTTATGGTGCGTTCAGAAACAAATATAATTCAGTTACATAAAATCCTTTTTTCTGTTCCGTGCTTTATTGTTTATAAATAAATAGCTTATTCTAATCTGAGTTATATTTTTCTTATTCGTCGCCTATTCTACCAGGAATATAAAGATAACATTGAAATAAAAAGATAGTAAATTTTTGTACATTTTAGTGTTCTAGATCTTGTGTTCCAAACGCAACCCTATTCATATAGAATTGAAGGAAGATTTGTATATATTATATTGTATAGTACCTGGATGACCGAGCATTTCTCGGTATTTTTTTTTTTTTGGAAATCGTGTGTTTTGGAAGTTATATTTAGATTAAAAATACATACTGATAAAATATGAAGAATATTTTTTGATCTTACCGACATTATGGAAAAAAACTGAACTGGTTATGAAAAATCATGAGTGCAATAAAATTTTCGTATTTTTAAAAAAATACTACAAAAAGGGCTCGAAATAATAGATTTTCTCACAAAAGATGGAAACTTGAAAAAAAGGGAAAAAAGTCAATCCTAAGACAAGACGCGAACCAGGGAACTACGTTTTCGCGACAGTCCGTTATCCACTTGAGCTATTACGATCATTATTATAGTGTTAAAATTTACCTTCTTATATTGTAGCAGTTTTTATAGATTTGTCTATAAAAACTGCTACAATCAAATACAATCGTGTTATAGATTTGTTGTTATCTCTTGTTTGTGAATTATAGTTTCTTACGTGTTGGTCATGAAATGTCTAATTATCGTAATAATTGGTACTGTTACAAATCATCAGTGTTATTAGTTTTGAGTGAATAGGCATGTATCAGTATAATTATGTTGTTTCAAATAGGTACTTCTGTTTTGATAAAAAAATTCAATAGTGTAATGTAATAAAATAAAACTGCGTTATATTGTAATCAATGTTGACATAATTTATTTCCCAAAGTTATAAATCAATTAAATAGTTTACGCCAACAAATATACATTTTATTTTTATAACAATCGTACATAGCGTTTTGTAGTTCTGCCTACCCAATCTACACGTACACAAAAATTAAAAACTTGTTTTTTTACATACACGCCATCTAGTGTTCTAGCTTCGTAAACGTAGGGATACGTCTGTGTGTGTAAACGACCCTATATACAATGACAGATATTATAATCAAAATTTATGTCGAATTGGGTGGATTTTGAGGCAATGATATGACCCATTCCAATAAAATGTAATATCCGATAACCGCTAAGTCTACTCCTACGACTTAATAATTTTCCAATTACACAAAAATCCAATTAAACTAAAAATGTTGACTTCAGCGCCATCTTGCGGGAGAATGGCTGGGAACAGTCCGTAGGTTTCACCTTAACTTATCTTCGTCTTCACGCTGCAAAGATCGTTTCTCCATCTATCAGGTTAAGGGACATCCCACATTGCATAGGTGTGTTTGTGTCTGTTCACTTTATTTTTGTACAATGCCTTCAAAACACAGGTGAATTGTTTACAGGTTTTATAATTAAATGAATAGAAATATTGTAGATAATGATTTTAATTTATTTCAAGGTGTAGTCATGTACAAGTCTCGAGTAGTCGATGTTGGCGCTCTAGTAGAGCAGGCATCTAGAGCTGCTGGCGAACGTGCTCGCTTGGAGGCAGCGCTAGAGAATGTTAAAAGTGCTTTAAAAGCGGCCCGAGCTGCAGCCTTATCTACACAACAGGCTGAAAGAGGCGCCCAGAGCCAGCTGTCGGATCTCAACGCTCAACTAGCAGCCGCTAAAGCACGCATCACTTCTCTTATGGTAACCGTGCTTTGATTAATTTATTCATACAACACTAATAAAATAATAATAATAATGTCCTCCAGACCGAAATTCGGCCACGGCGGTCTGCCTCAACGGAGGCTAGCCTTCGGCGCAGGACAGGATTATAGTGCCCAAGTGTATGCGTAGGCACAGGTGCACTCTCTATTCCCTCACTCTCATAATTCGATGGGACGGTAAACCGACACGACCGGCGAGAGATCAGGCGCAGGACCAACGGCTTTACGTGCTTTCCGAGGCACGGGGGTTAGACACCGCCAACTTCCTGACTCCGGGCAACTACTGAGAATTTCTTGACGGAAAAACTCAATAATTAATTTTTTGGCCGACTACTACAACCACTACACCAACGAGGCAGTCAACACTACAGTATATTCCAATTGCTTTAGCGATGATTTCAAAGTATGATGTCGGTATAAGCGAAACCATCATCTTATTTTGTACCATGAATATTCTGGAGGCGACTATGGAAAAAGCCAGAAAACCTTTATGTCCTCCAATATGGTAGATGTAAAATATCCAAACTAGTGACGGGGAGCATAATTAAAAGTGTGAAACATTTTGTATCTGTGAAGCATGGTGGTTATAGTAAATGTATGTCTATAATAAAGTATTACAACCTAGGTAACATTAAGCCTAACCAAAACATTAACAACAACAACTCCTTGGGTCATAAAAGTTTCTCTATAAATGTAACAAACTCTAACCTATTTTTACTGAAAAGCAAAAATGTTTGCACTGCTGTGTTTCTATTTAAGCATCTCGGGTTCGATCCCCGCCGGCGCTAATGAAATTATTAATTACAATTTCAAGTGCTGATTTACCACGTTCTCGGCGGTGAAGGAAAACATCGTGAAGAAACCTGCACGTCTGAGAAATAAGAAAAAGTAAAAGTATTTCGAAGATATGTAAAGATCGCCAACACGCATTGGGGCAGACATCTATCTCCTTGCCCTGAAACCCCTTAAGGTAGCATTCGGATCACAGCGGCCGCAGCTCTGCAGCCGCGACAAACTGCCGCGACCCACTGCCGCAGCTGTGCGGCGCAGCCACGTCCTTTCGAGTAGTAGCGACCGCAGCCCGACCGCTACTGCCACGTGCAGTAGTCGAGAAAGAGAAAGAGTCAGTGTGAACAGCCGTGCGGTTGTGTGTTCGTCGTATTTTGCGTATCAGAACTATGTCTGATAACTCAGATATAACGAAACAAGAACTCCTAAAGCGACTTATAGAGGACGAAGAAGAGGATGATGAAATAATGCTCATCAAATAGAAATAAAATAGATTCATTATATACATCAAGATGAAAGAAGAATGATATACATCAAGACGAGAAGAAGAAGGAAGGCAGCTATCAAATCCTAATTAATAAACACTTAAAAGCAAAAGAGAACAAATTCAGGAAGTACTGTAGACCAAATAAAAACTGCAGCGCTGCCACACTGCCTCCGGAGCGGCTCGGCAGCGCTGCCGGCGTCGTGCGCTAACCACGCCCCCCGGCCGCGCCGCACAGTCGCGTGCTTCGGAAAGCGTATGTTTAACGTATGTTTTACGTGTGTACAAAGCGGTGCGGAAGCGACAGGGTCGCGACCGCCGAGTCGCCGCTGCCGAGCCGCGGCTGCCGAAATCCGAATGCTACCTTTAGAAAAGGAAAAAGGCCTGTGCCTGGCTGTGGGACGTATATAGGCTGTAACTTTTATTTGGTTGCAGGCAAAGTCATTAGCTTAATTGTCAAATTAATAATAATCTAACCTAACCATTACATGACACCAATGTCAATAGTTGTTACATAAATTTAACATTTTCAATTATTTATGTAGGCCAGTTCCAAAATCTTCCACTCAACATTGAAGAGTATCCAGACTAAAGTGGAAGCTGTTGTCAATATAAAGTATGATGATGATGATGTAGTTGAAGTTGTAAATGGTCCAAAGTAAGTAATAATATTATGATATATTATAGAATGAAATTTGTACTTATTTTACTTATTTATTTATTTTTCATTAGGTTTTTATAATGGGTTTAAATTATGGAACTCCAAATGATGACTTAGTAACACATTTTAGGTTTCTTAGTTACACTCTTGAAGGAAAACATCATAAGGAAACCTACATATCTGAGAAATAAAATATTTAGGAGCGCTGTAAATATTGAGGAGCGCGGCGGACTAATCATAACCATCTCAGAAATGGGAGGACTTGAGTCCAGCAGTGGGATGGCAATTTTTATTTATGGGAGAGGGGGCAAACAAGCATACGGCTCACCTGATAGTAAGTGATTACCGCCGCCCATGAACAATTGCAACACCAGTGGAATTGCAGATGCGTTGTCGGCCTTTTAAAAAGGTGTAGGTTCTTTTCTTGAAGGTTCCTAAATGTGGACCGCCAGTCATCGAGATAGTATGTATGGTATCGCCATTTATGTCGCGATGTGCGATGGTGAAATTGTGCGGCTGGAATTAGTCTGAACAATTCCTCAGAGTAGTACTCCCCGTGGTAAATACGATAAAATACACAGAGATGCAACATCTTTTCGTAGTGCCTTTAAAAGAGCTCGGTTACCGACGGTTAGGTTAAGGTTCGAACGAAGTCCCCTGATGTTGCAGAAATTCACGGATAGCGTGGCAGGGGGCGCCTTTGACGTATTGCTCCGTTCGCACCGAGCAGGTTTAATCTCGAGCGGGATTTCATGCTTACATTCTGAAAAGCAAATAAATAAATGCTCACAAAACGCGAAGGTGTGAAGAGGCAAAATTTGTCCACCTATTCATTTATTATTTATATAATTAACGAGTTCATCGCCCAATGGTATCATCAGGGTACTAGGGAAGTGAACGGTGAAGCAAGAACTACAAATGTCAATTAAAATGTTTAAGTGAAAACATTTCACACATACAAGTTGTTCAACAATTATTGCATTGCATCTAAAATATGTTTCTTTTTTAGGGAAGAAAAAGAAACAAAGATTGATAAAGAAAAGACAGAAACAGAGAAAGACAAAGACTACAAGAAATCTTTAGATAGTAAAGTTGATGAAGGAAATATCAAAGAGAAGGAAAACGATATTATAACAACAGAGAACATGGAGATTGATGATAAGGAATAATATATAGAATAATAAGGGTTTAGTTTATATAAAATGATCCTTATGTAATTCACTCAAGTTGAGTCAAATAAATGGTCATTAAATTATAATGTTAGTAAAGGTAGGTTTCAGTAAGGTTTTGTTAATAATACCTGAAATTAAGTAATAATTGTGTATAAAGATATACTTAATACCAACCCCCACAAATACTTCGTATAAGGCATTAGTTTTAAGAAAACATTAAGAAACATGTTTATTTAATATAAGGTTTGAAATAACTCATAAATTTAATAAGTATATAACAGTGATGTTATGCTGAATTTCTTGCATTTACGTTGTAGGAATTAAGCACGGATAATATTGTGTATTATTTTGGGATATATGTGACCTTTTCTGCTTAAATGGATACATGGATGTAATGGATGAATTGAAATTTTGTATGCGAAAATAAATAGTGTTACTTGTCTATTTTTTAAATTTAATATGTTTATGACTTAAGAGAAATGAATGTTTAAAAATGGATGTAAATGTTTTTAAACGAAATTTTGAACAAGGTTCATTTGTTTCATTACAATACATTTGATTTTAATAAATATTAATTGTACATTAAGTATTAACAAAAAATACACTCATACATTTGTTCAATGTGTTGTAGACATTGAACAAATCAGTACATATTAAAAAATAGTTTTGAAAGGATGATGATTGTAACGTTTGAACATTGGTTGGTCATTTAAACAAAATGTAAGTTTTTAAAACATACAACTCTTGCTTTTGTATCTTCACAATAAAGGTACTTCTGACACTTTGTTTTTTTTTATTATAAGTGCTGACATAAAGTGCTCGGTGATGAGGGAAAACACTGGTGAAGAAATCTGAGCAACGAATTATAACTCGTGTATAATTTCGTTGTTTCTTTAGCATATGCATACTTAATGATATAACAATAATTCTTAGCAACAATCTAAACTTTGTCATGTAGTAATGAAAATGAAATTGATGAAGAATACTGTGTAGTGACAATATACAAAGTGGATTGTGAACAAGGTCTCATACAGGGCAAATGTAAAGGAACAATATAGCTGAAGGGAAACGTCAACTCTGTGGGAAGTCTAGCCTGTGAGCATGTTCGGCCATATTGCCAGATTTGTTAAACTACAAATTCCAACCAAGAATTCAGAGGTTATGGAAATTAATAAACATCTAATTTTAATAAAGAATATGCATAAATCGGCTTACCTAGAAGTTTTGAGGTAACACAAAAAAATCACGAAATGAGAACCTACTTCATTTTTTGAAGTCGGTTGAAAAACTAAAATTATCATACAGCCCTACTCCCGCGGCATCGTGCCATGAAAGCTGGCTGCGTTTCCTCGCTGAATGGTCATACTTAACTTGAGAGAGAAAGAAACCCAGCCTCTTATCACTAGCAGCAGCGACCAATCGCGAATACAGTTCCTTTGGGAATTTAAACGCACGTGGACCCCACGGACCGATAGTATTAATAGCAAACGGCATAAAAATTTAGTCATCTCTCAAAGACTCATGTTTATGCCACTTAGTTCAGATCAGGGGGGATACACTTCCATACTTTAGGTTGGGGTACAATCATGAAGGTTAGAGAACAGGAGAACGATCGCCGTAGAAAATAGTGTCCCAGAAATATGGACACCATCAGTGAGGCGCTGCGATCACTAGTGCAGTCAATAAAAGTCATTTTCAGTCTATTTTTCCGATCAGATGCTCAACCACTTGCACATCCACGATCCACGCACAATAAAATATTTCTCCATTTTTTAATGTTTCTTTTTGTCAAAAATTACAAAATTACGGAGCATGAAAAATTTCTACGAAAAAATGAAATGAAAATTTGTATTCAACTAACTTCACCTACTTGTACTCATAAACAGCTAACTTCGCAGTCACTACTCACCGACGTCAGCGCCGCTATGTATTCTACAATTTTCAAGGACAGGCGGGCTATGCTTTAGTACGTAGTGATCGTTCTCTAACCTTCATGATAGCAACCATGGTAAGTAGCCGCAATAGCGCCATGGCGACTACTTACATAGCACGCACTATGTGTTATGGAGAGATTGCGCGCTATAATATGACGCTATGCGCTACATTAACCACCATTAGTTCATAGATTCCTTTGTCTAAGGTTCATATGCCGCCCCGGCACTAAACTAGGCATGAGACCGATATATCAAAACGTAACTAATAACGTTATGTTATCAAAATATATCATATCGATACACCTAAGTATATAACCGTTATCACATATTCAACCAAAACCAGAACCTTACGGAAGTTACGAAACGTAAAACGAAAACTGTTGTCGTAGAACAATATGCCAACACGGGCCACCAAACTATCTGATGATCTTCGTTGATATTCGTTGTTTGTCGTTCTTGCGACTGTTGCGTGAATAAGTCAACGTCATACACTAGCGCCATCTAGTGTCAGGAAACGAGAGCGAGGGGAGCTTTGCAGAAAATGACATCACAAATCTTTCAACCGACAGCGCCATCCGAAGAACTAAGTTTCTAGAAAATCTACACTCGAACAGTCGTCGCTTTGCGCGCATTTACTTGAATATTCCGGATGCTTCATTGCTAATTTGTATATATAGGCGCTGCAAGATGCGATCGGGGCAGTATTGGATTTGGCGAGACAAGCGAAGCTTCGGAGCGGAATAAAGTGAATTAGTGTGTTTAATTATTAGTGTTTTAAGTTTTAATTTGTGTAAAGTAAATTAAAGTGTTAATTTAGGAACTACAGCTCCCGTAGTAGCTACTACACCTTCGCTACGTGGGTTCAAGGTGCCACCATTCGACGGGACTTCTTCCTGGTCAGCCTACAAAATCCAGTTCGAAGCTGTTATGAAGGCGAACGGCTGGAATAAAAATCAGGCCATGACTGCTCTCACACTAGGCCTGCGTGACCAGGCCTTAACAGTTCTGGAAACTCTCGGTGAGGAAGTGACTTATGAGCAACTCCTTGAGGCATTGGAGGCGAGATATGGCAACGCTCACCTGGAACACGTCTTTCGTGCGCAGCTTAAAGATCGTGTGCAGCGCATCAACGAAAACCTGCAGCAGTGGGCTCTAGAAGTGGAGAAGCTGGTGCGAAAAGCATACCGGTCTGTACCTGCGCTCATTGAAGGGAACTTGGTGCAGACATTCATCGACGGCATCCGCGACATGGAAGTCAGAGCTGCTGTGAGGCTCGGGCACCACGAGACGCTTAAGGACGCCTTGGGCTTCCACTGGAAGTGGAAGCCGTGCGGCAGGATCATCGTTCCCATCGCGTCAGGGAGGTTGCAGCAGCTACAGTTCTCGACCGCAACAAAGGATACAGCCCAAGGTGCTATGGCTGTGGGGAAAAGGGCCATCTTCGATCCAGCTGCCCTAAGCGAACCCTAGAAAGGGAAGGTGAACGATCTCAGGAGGGTAGTGCGGCCAACAGCACCGCCCAGCAGCAGCAGGGAAACGAGTAAAAGCCAGAACTGCGGGGCGGGTGCTGGCTGATGTTAAAAGAGCCCCAAGGATCTCGATCTCACAAACCCATGATGGGAACAGTCTAATCAAGGGCGAGGTCAACGGAATGCCGTGTATACTGACCATAGACACTGGAGCCTCTCGTACGGTTGTTAGTTCCCAACTTATAAGTCAGTTCCTTGGGGACTCCGCATATAACCGAGAACGCATTAATTTGGTAACAGCCACCGGTCAGCGTATACCCGTCCGTGGAGAGAAGGAGATGGAGTTGAAGCTAGGCAACCTGATCTACCTGCATAATGTCATCGTGGCTGATATAATGGACGACTGCATCCTAGGCCTAGACTTTATGAGGAATAATTGTTGTGAGATCGACGTTAAGCAAAGTGTTTTGAAATGTGGACAGGAGGAACTTTTTATGGAAGGTGCGTTACCAGGGAACGTGTAAAGCATTAAGAAGATTGTTCTTCCGCCGAGATCGGAAACGATTGTTCCGGTTAGTCTTCCTCGAAACGCTGGGCAAGCTCACCGTTGTGTACTTGTGGAAAAGGTAAACAATGACCTTCCATGGAAAGTAGCCCGAACCTTGGTCAGGACCACTGACATCTCAGGAGTACGTGTGCTGAACCTTTGCGACCGGGAACAGATTATAGAAAAAGGCACACTGATTGGTACTTGTGAGGAAGTGGATTGGTTACGTCGGTGCCAATATATATCGAGTGGGACCCCCAGCAAGGATGCAGAAAAGAGAGTGACCACACTTTTGGAAGACTGTCGCAGTGTTCTCTCCCCGAACGAATTGGTCAAGGCGAAGAAGTTGTTACTCAAGTACGCCGATGTATTCTCATCAAACGATGCTGACATAGGAAGGACTGGCTTAGTTCAACACAAAATAAACACAGGAGAAGAATTGCCTATCCGTCAGCGGCCAAGAAGATTGCCGGTAGCACGTGAAAAGGAAGTGGAAACCATGATTGAAGGAATGGTGAAGGATGGTGTTATTGAACCTTCCTCTAGTCCATGGTGTTCACCAGTGGTGCTGGTGAAGAAGAAGGATGGCAGCATGCGGTTTTGTGTTGACTACCGCCGTCTGAACGACGTTACGAAGAAGGACAGCTATCCCTTGCCAAGAATTGATGACACGCTGGACATGCTTACAGGAGTAAAGTGGTTTAGCACGCTGGATCTAAAAAGTGGCTACTGGCAAGTTGAATTTGACCCTAAGGACAAGGAGAAAACTGCGTTCTCGTCGGGAAAGGGTCTGTGGCAATTTAAAGTAATGCCGTTTGGGTTGTGCAATGCTCCAGCAACGTTTGAAAGGCTGATGGAACTTGTACTTACCGGGCTAATTGGCGATGCCTGTCTGGTCTACTTGGATGACATCATCATCGTAGGCCGTACGCTTGAGGAATACCTTCAAAACCTGGAACGCGTGCTCATGAAGATTCAGAGTGCCAACCTCAAGTTGAGCTCGAAGAAATGTTCACTATTCCAACGGCAAGTTAACTTTTTGGGGTT